CTCTCCGCCTCTCTCAGTTTCTCTGGGCCTAGGTTGCCCACAGTAGGTGTTCAGTAAACATTTGCTGATGGAAGGACCAAGCAAAAGACCCCCAGTGCTTCCCCACTGCGCCAGCCCCAGGGCCCCTCTGGCTGGTCCCTCCTGCAAGCTCAGCCCTTGTCTGTCCCAGGCTTGCATCCCTGTGGACTGGGGGCTGGGTTGCTGAAGGGCATGGGGAGGCGGGACGAGAGGGACGGGCTGGGGAATGTCTCCCCACACCCTGCATTGCTTCCTCAGGCTGCAGTCCCCAGGCGTCCCCAGTCCTGGGTGCCCGTCCCTCCGGCGGCCCGCTAGGACTGGCCTCTTGGTGGCCTCACCTCTCTGCTGCGGCTTGTCCATGCCCTCAAGCCCAGAGTCACCAGGTCCTGACCACCAGGCCCTTATGTCCATTTCTTACAACTCTATTTATTGAGGCAAAATAGACGTACCATTTTCACCATCCTCAACGGCATTGATCACATTCACAATGTCATGCACCCCTCACCAGCATCTCTACAACTTTTCTTCACTCCAAACATGCTCTGTGGCATGAAGTGCCCTGGCATTCCGTGGAGAGTCCCCAAGCACAGCCCTTAGCAGGGCCACGCCCCCGGGCCTCACTGGGGCCTCCAAGGAAGACTCGAGACCGAAGGACCACACGCCTGTCCCCGAAACAGTGGCACAGAAATCCCAACTCAGGGCCCCTCCTCTGCTCCCCACCCCCTCATCTGTGCTCAGGGGATCACCCAGGGCTGCCCAGATGGCGCTCAGGGTGGGGACAGAAAACGTGACTACTAATGAGAGAGGCCCGTGATGCATTCATTACCTGGGAGACAGCGGCTGGAGAACACAATTCAATTAACTGAACACTTTAAGTTCAATCAAGAGAAGGGCTGTTTTATTGACTTGTTTTAGCTGGAGTGCGTGCGCGCGCACGCATCTAATCCTCTGTCCTCGGGAAGTGGGGTACGTGGGTCTCCTTGTAGGGCAGAGCATCCTGCACAAATGACGGGGGGCGGGGCTGCAGTCAGAAGCCTGTGGGTGTGCTGTGGGGCTCTCCTGGTCTAGGAATGGTGAGATGAGGCAGGCAGCAGGGGTGAGCGAGGGGCCCAGCAGCAGGACGGAGAGGTCGGCCAGGGGTTCTGCAGAGCGGCAGCTGGCCCCACGCAGAGAGGCCAGAGGGCCAGCACCTGCGAGGGCCCTGGGAGACCCCTGGCACGTTCCCCCCAGCCCCAGGCTCCTCCCTCCCAGAAGCTGCCGACCCCTCCCCTGCCCTGCCCCCTCTCTGTTGTTCCAGTATCTGTTTAATTAAAGAATGAGGCACAGTGAGAGCCCATGGCCTCATTTTTGGAGCCACAAGTAAGAGGAGATTCATGGGTGCCCTCATTAGAGTTGCTGGCAACAGGCACATTCCTGAGCTAGGAGTAAGTCTTGCACTCTGGGCTCACAGAAAAAAAGCACTTTATTAAAATGACTGCCCCCATGAAAAGGGGCAAAATGCCTTACTCAGTCAGGAAGAGGAAGTGTGTTATGGCGGGCCCCAGGGACCCACCTCCTCGCACACCTGCCCCGGCCAGGGCCTCCCCCACCAGACAACCCCGGGCCTAGTTCAGGCACCTCCTCCCACCGGCCGCTGGAGGCAAGCTGTCGCAGCCCCTGCCCGCAGCCCCTGCCCGAGTCCTCCCCCACAGGCTGCATGTCTCTCCACATTTGTCTCCCCCGTTCCAGCCAGGACCCCAGCCTTGCCCTCTGCAGCAGCAGGGCCTCTGGAACCCGCAGTGGAAGGAGGACGTGGCTGGCAGAGAAGTGGGAGGGAGGTGAGAGTGGGGCTGATCTGGGGTGGGGCCGTCCCAGTGCAGGGTGCAGGCTGGGACCCCAGAAGGGGAAGCGAGAGAGGGGAAAGGCGGGGGAGGGCCAGCTAGGAGCTGGCAGGAAGAGCCGACTCCACTGGGGAGAAGCCCGCCATGGCCGCACCACAGCGCTGGGAGACTGGAAGGCCGTGTGAGGACCGGGGTGGGCCCTCTGTGCAGGCCCATCCTGGCCCCAATACCCAGCTCCTCTCCTCAGGGTACAGGCTGGCCCCTGCTTAGCGACCACCTCAGGCTACAGAGCCTTCACTCCACGGCATCCAGCTGCCCATCCGAGGCCTCGGGCCAGCTGAGGGCACATCCGCCAGTGGGGGGACGTGCAGACTGTCGGGGACACGGACAGGCCACTGGAGGCTCCATCCCTCCAGGGTCCCACTGACTAGAGTAGTAAGCCCATCAAGCCCAGGGTGGGGGTAGTGGGGGAGGTCTGCCGCCCAGCCTAGAGATCTGGAAGCCATCTGTTAGCTTCTGCAGGCCCCTGGCTCCCAAGGTCAAGGGCCCCTGGTCCACACTCACCTCCACTCCTACCCACAGGGCAGGTGCCCACACCCCACCTGGGTAACAGCCTCCCTGCTGCTCCTTGCTTCCTGCTGAAGGCCCGTCCCCTGGGGGAGAATCACCACCTGTGGGCCTCCAGGCCCCCCCCCCAGCCTAGCGAGGTCATGGTCCACGTTTCAAGGTGGACCTTGGGACAATGGCCCCCAACACATGGGCCAGGCTGAGGCTAGCTCCTGTAGCATCAGACGGCCCATCTGCTTGACCAGGGGTGGGGGCATCGTGTGAAGAGTGGGCCTCAGCAGGGTGTCCCCATGAGATGAGCTGTCCAAACCCAGACCCTGGAGAGTGAATGGATGCTATTAAGGATTGTGCCCAGACACCAGGTGCCCACCAGGACCAGCCCAGGCCAACCAGGACATGGGGTCCCCTTTGGGTCCCCCAGCCCAGCAGGGCCCAGACAGAGCAGAGCCAGAAGCCCCCGAGACTGAGGAGAGCACCTCCAGCTGCCGGGGCTGGCCAGGGGGGACACGGCCAGGCCTGAGACAGGGCTGGGTCCATCTGGCAGCTGCCCAAAGAGGGAACTGGCCTCAGCTGGGCAGCCTCTTGACGAGTGACAATAGCCCGGGGCCTGCCCCCCTTCACTTCTCCCCTTAAGCCCCCAGCCCATCACCTGTCCACACTGGAGGGGGTCTGGCAGGCCACAGACCCCTTCTTATTTCCAACAGAGTCTAAGGACCAAAGAAGGCTATGTTCATCTCAAGTTCCTCAGCCCCTGTGGCGGAGCAGGTGCTAAGCCCGCTGGCTGGGCCCAGGCCACTTGGCCCTACTGTGGGGCTTCTCCTGGGTTTGGGCGGCCTGGTGACCTCTGTGCTCTGGTGTCCGACGCCAGTGGGTCACAGCCACGTGGGGATCCTGCACCCACTGGCGGGGGAACGCCATAGCCAGTCCCACAGTCAGAATCCCAAGGCCCCAGCTCTCCTGCCCGGGCTCCCTCCTGTCCATCCGAGGCTCCTCCAGTCCCTAAGCCCCAGTCAACTCAGGTCCCCAGGGCACAGGCCATCCAAAATCCCCTGAAATTCTGCCGCTCCGAGTCTCCGCTGTAGACTGGAGGGTCTCAGTCCTGGAGTCACCACCTCAGCCCCAGGCAAAGGTGTCCCTCGCTCCCTGGATTGGAGCTGCAGCATCTCAGTGGGGGCTCCCTGACGGGGGCAGGCTGGGAAGGAGCACAGGTAGACGCCAGAGCACTGAGGGGAAGGGCTGGGCGGGAGGCAGCCCAGAGACCACCCTCTCACACCACCATGACCCCACCTGCTGGGTCTCAAGTGTCCTGTCTGTCCTGATGGGTGGCTGACCTACCCAGGGGCTGTTCCTGCCCTGTAGCAGCCTCCCCGAGCCCTTGTCTGCCTGCAAGGCCCGGTTCCCAATTTCAGCCAGAGAACTCCTACGCACCCTCCCTGGCCCACTTCCAAGCTCACCACCTCCATGGAACCCTCTCAGTTCCCCCAAGCCTTTCCTACAACCCCAACCTTCTGCTCAGCGGGCCACCTCTCTCAGGCTGCATTCATCCTGCTCACCTCTGTCCCACCAGCCAGGCAGCCCCCGGGACCTGAAAAGCCTCAGTAAAGGCTGAACAAATGAGTAAGGGCCCTGAATGGCACTGGGGGAGCTACCTTTCCGCACACAAGACTGTCCTGGGCTCCTGCTGGCTCCCAAGTCCACATTGGCTCAGGTGGAATGACGAGCATTTAGCTGGGGCCCTAACCTGGTTCGGCTCCCTCTCCCTCCTGCCTCCCCGTGGGTCTCTGGGACTGAAGGGTGGGACGCACGCACAGCCTCGAGGACCGGATGGCCAGAGCCGCACCTCCCGTGCCGTGGCTCCCAGCCACGGAAGCCACACTGGGCTTTAGCAGGTCTTTTCAGTTGTAAGAATTGCTGCCCCACCCCCACCTTCCTGAACATTCCTCTGTGGCAGCCCAGTGCGGGGTCTCCCGGAGCTCCCCGGGGTCGGTGGACGGCAGCAGATGTAGACGCCGAGGGCCCCGGGTCTCGAGCAGGGAGCACACCCAGGATCAGGCTGGGGAGCGTGCACTGGGCTGGGGAGGAGGCAGCCTGCGCCTCCCGAGTACACCGTGGAAAGCCGCCCCATCCCGCCTGCCCCTGCTTAGATGGGGCCCTTCACCTTGGAAGCTCCCTTCCCGGGTCTCCCCGGGACGTGGAGGCCACCGCTTCTCATCTTGCTCCAGCTGCCTGACCACCCGGGAGCTGCCGGCAAAGAACGAGGACGGTGCTCTGGGCGGTGTGGGGGCTGGTGTCCGCTGACACAGAGGTGAAGACGGGGTGCGGGGGGCCTGGAGGCCCTCTGGGCCCCCGCGGGGGGAGGGCATGGGAAGCGCACGCCGCCCTGTGTGGGTGCCCACAAAATATGCTTCTGCACCAAAATACAGAACACGTTCTCTAAGGCAAGTTTGCTGCGAATGGTCAATTTTATATAAATCCATGCGGCCTGACGTGGCAGTGGTGAGCACACTGTCCTTCCCGGGTCCTGGCCAGCTCCGAGCACTTGTGGTGGCCACAGTGGCCAGTCGCCCCCGCAGCGCCCACCCTTCAGGCCCGAAGCGCGGCCCCGCCTGCAGGGCTCAGTCACTGCAGCTGCTGCTGGCTCTGCGGGAGGAGCCGAGGTCCAGGGCCGCTCTGTGCGGCGGGGACCACACTGCCAAGCTCAGCAAGGGCCAGGGAGGCGCGGCAGGTCCCCGTGCCGCGGGTCCCGCGTCTTTCTGTCCCTCCATTCACTTGCGGCTTTTGCAGTTTCTGCTAATGTAGCACTTGAATTTCTCTAACAGCTTTGTTCACGACTCTTGGGTTCTCTCCTGAGCGGTTGCTCTCAGGCCGACCAGAATGTACTTCGGATGTGGACACGCTCACTTCCTGCCAGAGACCCTTCCGGTGTGGTTGTGACACAGGGCACATCTATAAACGTGACGAACCCAAGATTATCACTTTATGGAACGACAGGCTTTTTCAAGAAGCTGCCAGGGGCACCCGGGTGGCCAGCTGGTTAAGCATCGGCTCTTAGCTTCAGCTCAGGGTCGTGCGATCGAGCCCCACGTCCGGGTCCGTGCTGGGCACAGTCTGCTTGAGATGCTCTCTCCCTCAGCCCCTCCCGCTCATGCTCTCTCTAAAATACATAAATCTTAAAAAAAGAAGCAGCAGCTGCAGGAGCTGCCAGAGGAAAGGGCAGCAGGGGTTGGCACCCATAACCCCAAAGGTGTCCAAGGTCAAGTGGACACTGTCTTCTCTGAAGACAGAACTGCCTTTAGCAGGGCTTTGTTCTGAGTGGATCTGATTTACCGTCTGAGTCACTTGCTTTGAGCCCCAAAGACTTCCTTTAGCATTTCCTGAGAGGCGGGCCCACCAGCAGCAAATCCTGTTTTTGTGCATCTGCAAACATCGTTCACTCACCTTATTCTGAGAGAGCGCTTTGGCAGACGCAGGAATCTTGGCCGTGAGTTTCCTCTGAGCTCCCGGGCTGCGCCGTCCCCGACTGAGCTCAGCCGCCAGCCCCGCTGGGCGTTCTCGGGACGGGGACAGCTTTCCCGGTGTTCCCGACTCTGTGGATCACACCGTTAGTCCCACTGGAGCTCACTGGGCCTGATTTGTAGATGAACATGGGGATTTTTCGGGCACCATGTGAGTATTTTTTGTTCCCTTCTGCCCCCTGGGGCTCCGGTGACACGTGGGTGTCCCTGCACTGTGTGGTCACCTAGGGCTCCGGGTCAGTCGAGGTCACAGGTTCTTTCTCCTGCCAGCTTACAGCAGCTGCTGAGCCCCTTGGGAACTCTCCACTTCGGTTCTCGTACTGTTTGGCTCCGGAAGCCCCACTCAATTCTTCTGGGTGTGATAATTCTCATCTTCCTGTTGATGCTATGTGATGCGCCATCACCAGTCTCTCCCTTCGCCCCCCACCCCCCGACCACGTGTAGAACGGCCAAGTCCAAGTCTCTTCCTGTTAAGTCCAGCGCCTGCCGGCTCTGCAGCCTACTTTTCTCCTGCGGTCTGACCCATAACTGTTTCTTTGCACGTTCGGGTGGGAAACGGGTCACTTCGGGGAGCGCACTGCCACAGTTCTGGGTCCTGGCCACCCCACCAGGTTGTGTTACTGTTATCCTGTCACTTACTTTGTTTGCTGGCGCGGCACTGGGCTCGTCCCTGCCCCGCAGCCCTTGCTCCGGCCTCTGCTGCCTCCAGGGGCGCAGCCGTGGGCTGGCCCACAGTCTCCCTGGGAAGACAGCGGCTCCGGCGAAGCTGGCCTGTCCTCCCGGCCCACACCAGCTCCTCGGCACCGCTCCCTGTTGGCAGATTGCTCCGGGTTTTCCAGTCACGCCTGGGCATAAAGGCTTCAGGGCCTAATCCAAGCAAATTTGGCTTTTGGAAGAACAGCTCCTGAGATCAGTGAGAGTCTTCCTGACCCGCAGCCAGCCTCCAGCTCAGCCCGTGTCACCAATCAACCCACTGCCCCTCCCACGTGCTGTCTCTACGAGCTCCCCTTTAGCGAGCACCCCTGAGCCTCTTGTGGAGGGAAGGGGACTGGGTCACAGCCTGCCTCTCCGGACAAGGCCGCTCGTCTCTGACAGCTCTGGGGGTGGGCGATGGCAGTCCCAGCTCTCCGGGGCTGGTCTCCGTGTGGAGCCCCCACCCCACGAGCCGAGACCACCACGGGCTGCCTGCCTCCATCCTCCACACGCCGGGCCCTCGTGGTGCACCTGCCCGCTGTGTCCTTGCAGAGAGGGGCTGAGGCCAGAACGCGGCTGCTGGAGAGGGCATGGCAGAGGAGGGAGTCAGGAGACCCGGCCTGGCTTTCCCAGATGGCTCCCCGGTGCGCACGCTCCCTTTTCCAGCCACGCTGCCCAGATGCCCCGGCGGCCGGTGGGGCCTGTGGGACTGGGACCCGGCCCAAAAGACTGGAGCAGAAGTGATGCATGTCGGCAGACGGGCAGCTCGGAGGAAGTGTGCTTCCTGCGGCTGAGGGCTGGAAGCAGCAGACACCAGGGTGGGACCTGGAACTGTCTTGAAACACACAATGGAGCCACAGGTCCCAGGCGGCAGAGGAGCCTGGCTCCACGTGCGGAGCTGCCTCTCCACCCTGGGTCACCCTCCTGGACTTGGCAGCTGGACCCGAGGCAGGCAGGAACCCGTCTGTGCTCTCCCGCCCTCACGGACCCACTGACACCCCGGGCCACCTTCTGCCCCTCACCTGTGTTCCAGCCTCCCCAGCAGCTTCCTGCCTTGTCGGTAAGCCCGTGCCGTCCGGAGGCAGGACAGGGGCCTTGTCTGATCACCCTCCAGCCTCGGGCCGAGCACGATGGTCAGTACACGCCGGCAGGGAACACAGGCCACGCTCTATGCTCAATGACGGATGAAGCATGAGCACATCTGCACACCAAGAAAGGCCGCTGAAGCTCGCACCTGCGCCTCCCACAGCAGCTCAGGCTGGCCCTTGGGGGCGGCAGCGGCGGGTCCCGTTTGCCCCCAGTTCTGCTTCCCGCGCACCCCGGGCTCCCGGGAAAGCACGCAGTCTGCGTGGCCGCCTACCCCTGCTTCTGCCCCATCCCCCCAGGGCCACATCCGACTCCAAGGGCCCTGAGCTGCCTCCAAAGGCTCTGCCTTCTGGCCCAGGAAAGACTGGCCAGGAGGGGTGCAAGCATGACCCAACGGGATGGAGAAGCCTCCCAGACGCCGCATCCGCGGACCCCACTGCCGGGGCTCTGGGCCACGTGCTCGTGGGGGACGCGGAGCCCGGGCCTCCTGCAGGTGCCTCCGCAGTGGCCAGAGAGGAAAGAAGGGGGCACTGGTCCCACCTGCTCCGATTTCACATCCAGCCTAGTCGGGCTCCACCCAGAACTGCTTGGGAAGGATTCCGAGGCGGAAGCACGCTGGCCCCTGAGCCTGAGGGGCCGGGCAGGAAGTGCCGAGCGGAGCAGTTGGGAGGGGCTCCCAGAGGACAGGGAGGGCGGCGGGACGGGGTGGAGGCGCTCACCAGCCGCCGGGCCACACAGCTCACCAGACGGCCTCGCTGGGCCCTGGGCCTCTGCCAGCACCCACATGTGGCCCCGCGGCCGGCTGCAGCCCAGGGCACCTGGCTCCGCCCGAGCCAGCAGCAGAGGCCACGTGCGGAGAAGCGTGCTGCCCATCAGAGAGGGAGGCAGGGGAGGCCAGAGCTTGCTCTGCCCCAGGACCTCCTGAGCAGCAAGAGGGCTCGAGCTGGCGCCGTGCTCTGTGGCCACTTCTGGAAGGAGCGCCCTGAGGACAGACACCCCTCAGGCTGTCCGGTGACAAGCATTTACTGACTGGCCACAGAATGGCCAGGACCGGGGCAGGTCGCGAATCCACGGCCTGGGGTCTACAATCTGATGGGACAAAGCCTCCACAGGGGACCCAGGAGCCCCACGTGTCCTGCCCCTCCCCCGGCTGCACCCAGCCAGCGAAGTCCCGCTGTTCGAGAAGCACGGGAGAGCTCCTCGGCGTCCGGCCGCCTCTCCGGGCCACCACCACCTACACCGAGGCGAGGGCAGGCGCTCCAGGGACCCAACACCTCACGTCCCATGACACCGCAAGCAGCCGCAATTCAACAGCACGGGGCCACACGAGTCCGAACCGGCAGCCAAGCACATGGGTGCTCAGATGTCACCCCGGGCACAGGAAGGAAAGGGCGCGACGGCAGCACGGTCCCGAGGCGATCTGGCCTGAAGACTCCACGAGGATGCTCTGAAAACGGCCTTGCTCGGTTCACGACCTTCAGCCCTGCATTTAAAGCAGGAAACACGCACGTCCACAAGGGGACACGGTGGCGGCGACAACCGTCGCCTCACGCTTGGGAAGATGCACACAGCAGAGGAACGGACAGTGAACCAAACGCTGCGTGGAGGCCGGTGGGCGCCCCAGAGGGCGGGGGGCCAAGAACCACGAGGCAGCCAGACGGCCAGGCCGGAATCCCAGGGCGCAGCGGTGAAAGACAGAAGTCACAGCCCCCCACGTGCACGCAAGGAGGGTGCGCCGTCCCGGGGCGCAGTCCAGGCCGCGGGCAGCGGGGGGCCACAATCCTCCCACAACCAAGCCATGCAGCCGGCTCTTCCCCGCACGGGGTACCGAGGCATGAACGGCCAACGCTGAAGTTCAAATGCAGCCGGAAATCCAAACAGCTGGACTTAGGCGGGGCACGAGTGCACGCCTGACACACTGCTGAGCGCTCAGCAAACTCAGTGACATGCACGCGGTCAGCACGAACTCCTGCGGAACGGGGGCTCGGACGACACAGTAGATTCGGCACCAGGACGCTGGACTCGCCCGCAGTGCGCCAGGGACCCTCGGGGCAACGGGAGGCCCGGGCAGACAGTCCTGCTCGCGTTAGGGGAAGCGACTCCGCCGTGCCAACCCAATGTGCGGCCCCCACGCCCTGGGGCCCAGCCCGCCTAGCAGCACGGAGGAGCTTGCAGGGGGCTGCGCGGCTGAGCTCACGGCTGAAGTGAGGACCCGCCACCTACGAACCGCAGGCAGGGGTGCCCGCCTGACACAGGGACAGCGCCACACCACCGACCGCGCCCCGAGGGGACGGCAGGCGGGCCCAGGGCAACACTAGCCCTGGCAAGTGGCCGCGGGCACCGCCAGCAGTTGGCCCGAGGGCCGGCTTTGCTCCTCCCGGACGGACAGACACCTCCACCCACGCACACAGCGGGGCTCAGCCGGCCAACACGGGGCCAGAATCTGCCCGGCATGGTCCTGGCTTCCGGCCACGGGACGCTCCGCTCGGCTTCGGGTGTGCGGGACCCTTCCGGAGCGGCTGCTCACATTGACGTGCCAGGACGGAAAACACGGTAAGCCCGCGATGCACCAGACGCGCAGGGATGGGCTGTCGCGAGTGGCCAGGAGCCCACACCGGGCGCCCCGACCTCCCGGACAAGCTCCGGCCCGCAGGCGAGGGCCGCGCCGACATCAGTGCTCGCCCGCCGTGGAGGAGCAGGGCAGAGGGGGGGCCTCCTGGGGGGCCTCGAGTTTGACCACGGCCCTGAGGGCCACGCGCCGCCGCTTCACCTGCCTCTGCCTGGCGAACACGGAGCGCAGCGCACGCAGCTGCCCCACCTCCTGTGCCGTGAAGCAGGGCTGTCCCTCGGCGAAGCGCACCACGGCGTCAAAGGACAGGGCCGCCTGCTCCCAGGCCGCCTCGTCGCCGTCCTTCTCAGCCTGCTCCGGGCTCCCGGCAGCTGGGGCCGGGCCCTCTGCGGCCGCGCCCCGGGGAAGCCGGCTGCCAGGGCGGGCCGGGGCCTCTCCCCGCAGCTGCAGGATGTGCGCGAAAGTCTGATCGTGAGGCCTCGCTCGGAGGCGCTCCGGCTCCTCCTCCGAAGACGAGCCCTCGGCGAACGTGACCGCGGGCCACAGCTTCCTCCAGGCCCGGCTGAAGACGTCGCCGGGCACGGCGCTCCAGGCGCAGGCCACGTTGAAGACGGCATCGTTCACACTGTAGCGGGGGTGGCAGGCCTGCAGCGGGACGGGGGGGTTGATGAAGTGCCTCATGAAATCTCTCCGAATGCCCTGGTCCATGGGCTGAATCAACGAGGTGACGCTGGCGGGCAGGAAGACGGTGAAGATGTTACCGGAGGCCAGCTCGGACTCCCGCGGGCGGGCGCGGGCGTTGTCCAGCAGCAGGATGGCTTTGCCGTCCTCGGGCAGACCCACTGCCCGGAAGTGCTCCTTCACCGACGGAACGAAGATATGATGGAACCAGTCCGAAAAAATCTCCTTGTCCACCCACGCGTTACCTTGGGCCTTGTAGGCGACGGGCAGGTGCTGAATGCCCCCGAAAGCCCGGGCGCCGCCGCCTTTCCCAATCACCAAGGGCTTGATCTTGTGGGAGCCAGTGGCATTGGCGCACATGAGGACGGTCAGCCTGTCCTTGCTCTGCTTGATGCCGGGCACCGTCCCACCTTCCAGGCTGGGACTGGGCAGGCACCGCCAGAAAAGGCCGGTCTCGTCGGCGTTGTAAACCTGCTCAGGGGACAGGCCGTGCTCGGCCGTCAGGCTCCGGAAAAAGCCGCAGAACTGCTCGGCTGCTCGGTGGTCGGCCACTTGTTTCTCGCTGGACGCGTCCAGCTTCTTAATGCCGTGCCTGGCCTTAAAACGCCAGAGCCACCCACCAGAAAACACGCAGGGCTCCGTTAACTGCATCTGCTCGTAGAAGTCCTTGGCCTTCTCGATGAGCATGGGGCCCGAGACGGGCACGCCCTCAGCCCGCTTCCCCAGGAACCACTGGTACAGGACGCGGTCCAGGTGCTCGAGCTTGGGCGTGTGCAGAGTGCGCCGCTGCTCCAGGGCCTTATTGGAGTCCGAGTTGGCAAAGAAGCGCAGCAGCTGTGCCTTGTGGGCCTTGATGTCGTACAGGGTGGACATGCCCACGTTGTACTCCTGCATCAGCACCTTCCTGCTCTCCCCCTTCTCCAGGCGCGTGCAGATGTCAATCTTCTCCTTCAGGGTCAGCACCACCCTCTTGCGCTTCTCCCCTGGGCTCCGCCCAGCGGCCTGCTTGGAGGCCATGGGGGGAGTGGCTTGTCCCCAAGGGCTGGGGAGGACACACGTGGCGGGGGGGGGGTCCTGGCAGAGTCCTTGCCTCTCCTCCCCCCGTCCTCTGCTCCCTCACCTGCCTGTCCCGTTCCGCTGATCCTGGGCCACCATGAGCCACAGTTCCTCCTTTGATCCCCCCTCCAGGGCTGGCGATGTTGCCGCCTCCCCGCCTCTCTGCAGGAGAGACGACTCGTGTCACGCTGCCCCTGGACGTGTCCACACTGTTGGAACTCCTGGCCTTCTCTGAGGGGGACGGGGGCCGCTGAGAGTCGAGGGGTCCCGGGAGCTGGCGTCCGGTTAAGCGAGGCTGTACTGTGCCGGGACGCCTCTCCGGGCTCACGGCGCCGTCTGACGCCGTGCTTTAGGAACTGGAAAGCAGAACAGGGGAAGAAAGAACATTACGGACCGCGGGCCTGGGCCACCTGCAGGCATGCGCTCGCGACTTCAGGCACACAGGGAAGCTGCAGCAGAAACCACGGTGCTGTAGGGGCAACCAACACGGGAGCTGGCCCGAGCGCACAGCGTCCGGGAGGCTGCCCAGCTGGGCACGCGGGCTCTTTCCAGCGACCTCTTGGTCACCACAGCTCCTTCAGGATGGACAACTCCATCCTCTCCTGACCCTCCCTGCGCCGCTAAGCAGGCTTGCAGGGCTGAGACTAGAGGTAGCCTTGCTGGATCCTTCGGGAATCACATCCCCGCCGCACTTTGCCTGCTGAGACACCAACATCCTCCAGCCTGTTGCCGGCAGTGACCGGCCCTGCTGGTCTACTCAGTGCAGTGTTTGCTGGGACAGTCCCGTCTCCTCCTTCACAGCCCACATCCCCTCAGTTCCTCCATGACTTGGCCCCTCCCAGCCGGGAGAGATGGCAGATCGCCAGGGAGGCTACAGCCAGCTCACGGCCAGTCATCCCGTCCTGCAATGACAGGCATGCAGGACTCACAGGTGGGCTTCGAGCAACTCCCCACAGCCTCCCACCCAAACCCTTATTTTGGCTGTGTCTTCCCACCTTGTGCAGATGCTGAGGCCACAGGACTACTCATATGTGGAGCCTAAAAATGCAGCTCTTTGAGAACACAACTCAAGAGAAATGATGTTTATTCAAATGCAGCAAGAGCTCCAAAGACTAACTCTAGGCCTGTCACCAGCCAGCTCTGGGCACATCCTTTCCCCCTTCTGAATCAGCCTCCTGGTCTGCCAGGCGAGCATGCTGCTCCGTTAGGGATCCTATCTTCATCCTACTTACGGGGCACCAGTGACAGTGTACTGCTTGACCCTCTCGGCAGCAGAAGGAAGTAAAGGCCACCATGAGAGGCTAACTCCAAGCACAGCAGAGAGGAGGAGGGGGAACTGCCCAGAAAGGCCTCCTGCAGGCTCCGCCCCTGAAACGGAGGGTTCTGGATGTTTCCTCTCCCTGACATGCAGGTGTATGCAAGATGTGTGCAGGGTGACATTCAGTAGTTGAAAACACTGTGGTCCCACCTGCGAGACAACACTTCTTTTAAAATTGAAATTCAGATATCCGGATATTCTGAAACAATTTCTTAAACCAAAAGGTCACCTCGTACAGCAAGAGAATTATGGCGGTTTCTAGCCTTGTGAATTCAACATAAGCACTGAGACTGAGGCCACACGAACAGGGGTGTACACACCTCATCCTCCTGCGCTGGAGGGACAGACAAAACACGGGGCAGGGGGGCATGAAGGGACAGAGGGGGCAGGAGGCAAAGGACGGCGCGCCCCTTCACATTAGCTCCCTTTCCCCATGAGGGGAAGCCCAGACCTGAGAAGAGAGCCCGAATGATTCAGAAGGAAGCGGAGCAGCAGTGTGCGGGGGGCGGGGGGGCCATGAGGGAGAAATACTAAAGAAAACAAGTAATTTAGAGACTGAGGCAAACAAGGGGAAGACTCCACCGGCAGGGAATGCGTAGGGGCAGGTGCACGGGGAAGGGGGCGC